GTTCAGTTTCCCGACAATTGCCGACCCACGGCCAAGGGGGGGGGGGGGGAGAGAGAGAGGGGGACGATGGAAAAAAACAAACACAAAAAGCCACCTGGAACGAGGAAGTCAAATCACAATGTTCCGAGAATATTGATGCGCGCGAGAGAAGCACGCGCACACACGCAAGAACGCAAACATGCATCTTGGGTTACTCAGAAAAGATGAAGAGAGACATCAAATACAAGGAACGCAGATATATAAAGGTCCGGCGTGTCGTCGGGTGCCGGAACACGGCGGCGCGTTCAGGAATTTGAACACTACGCAACGACAAAAAAACGACGAGAGATTCAAGATAGAGATAGATGCGAACACGGTGGGTCGATTATGAATTTTGGGGTAACGTTCAGATTCGAGACGGGGAAACAAGCAAATAATTTGGGAGGAAAGCCGAGGGCATTAAGAAGCCTCGATCAAAAAAAATTGAGATCTTCCAGAGGGCTGCTCTACGCCGCGCGTGAGCCTGAAAAAATGTTCATGGCCACGACACCAATGTCACAATCAAAATATATAGGGTCCCCCACGGTGGCTAGGAGATGTTAACTACCTCGCCTGGTACGCAGGAGGTCATGGGTTCGATCCTGACCCTGACGCCTGCTGCTGTATATTTGGAGTTTGCGTGTTTCTCTCTCATCATGACCACGGTGGCTAGGAGATGTTAACTACCTCGCCAGGTACGCAGGAGGTGGTGGGTTCGATCCTGACCATGACGCCAGCTGCTGTATATTTGGAGTTTGCGTGTCTCTCTCTAATCATGATCACGGTGGCTAGGAGATGTTAACTACCTCGCCTGGTACGCAGGAGGTGGTGGGTTCGATCCTGATCTGGACGTCTGCTGTATATTTAGAGTTTGTGTGTCTCTCTCTCTCCCTGTGGTCGTGTGGATTTGTCTCCGGGTCCTCCGGTTTTTCCCTCCACATTTAGAATCGGCATCACACGTTTAAGAGTATTTTGGCTGCCACTATGAATTTCCACACGATCATGATGAGCCGCTCACTCAGTGGGCCTGACCTGGATTGTTTATTTTTTACAGCAAAGAGAATAACTTGGCGAAAAAGACAAAGCCGCGAAAAAGAGAGAGAGAGAAGCCGGTAGCGACGAGCAGTTCTCGGTATAAATAAATAAAATGTTCCCATTCTAATCGCGATGACAAATCTCGAGTAGGGGCGCGGGCGCAGCTCACTCGAGATCAACGAGCGAGCGACGGAGTGGGGGGGGGAGGGGGTGGAAGGGGTGGGGCCGCCACGGGGTCGGAGCGGAGCCAGGTGCTGACCGGTTGGAGTCGGCACGGGGGGGGGGGCGGGGGGGGCACAGCAACCGTGGGTCAAAAGCCTCGGCGGCGCCGGTAGCCGAGGTTTGGATCGAGGCACGTGCGCGGTCAGGTCGGGTGAACGCGCTGAAAGAGAAAAAAAAACTCGCAAACATTCGGCAAACATTTGTCGAGCGAGGCCTGGAAGCAAGATGGAATGAACAGCGCAATCACAATGAAGGGATTGCAGATATGCGGCGAGAGTTCTGCTAGAGCAAGCATAGATAAAAGTTGGGGAGGGGGGTGGTGGGGGGGGAGAGGAGGTCAGGGCAGATCCAGAGCCGAACGCAGGTGGCTTGCGGTGTTTTATTTTTATTTATTTAAAAATAAAAGATGCGATGGTCGGGGAATTGTCGGCGCGAGCGTCGAATGGGCCCCCGCGCCCCCCTTGCCAACCGTGCTCATCGGAAGGTGCGTGTTGTTATCGTGTTATCGTGTTATCGTGTCATCGGGAGTGTTACATCGACAAATGCCGTGAGAAATGAAAAAGAGAAGTGAGCTGTTATGCAACTTCCTGCTGCTGATGAATAACAAATAAATAATTATTGTCTATCTCTCGACAAACAATCACCGCACTTCTCAGGGGCCAGCAAGGCGCCCCCCCCCGCCCCCCACAACAGTGTGCCTGGTATATATAAAGATATACAAATATAGCAGCTGCATAACAAGTTACACCCGCTCTCCCAACAATAGCTTTAAAATACGGAGGGGGGGCGGAGGGGGTGAAAAGCACGTCTCATAATTTTGGGGAATGCAGCACAGGAGAGTGTGCGTACAGCAATTACAATGAACTGTTACCCGCTCTCTCTCGTCAATTCATTGATTCGCATCGGTTCTTAGGCTCACGATAATGCGCGTGACGTCGAAAGCCCAACCGGCACGGGACACTGCGCGGATGGAGGACGGTGCATTGTGTGTTCAGCACCTCCGATTGGGACGGTCGGCTACGTACGGCGTGAAAAAAGTTCAACGCACGTACGTACAACATACATATAACATACATACAACATACGTCCGTGACCCCAGGGCCCAAACTCTTGTCCCGCTGCCCCTGAAAATCTTCTCATCGATCCAGCAGTGATTCACGTTGACCCCGAATTGATCGCGATGAATCACATCTTTTTATTCCCCTCCCTCTCTTCTGCCTCGTTTCTTCGAGGGCACACGAGCGGTCAAATTGCCTCTCTGTCGATTAAGAATCGGCCGGGAATCGATGGCGATTGCTAAAACTCTTGATTAGAGCCGTTTGGGATCGATTGGGGATCAATTGGAATTGATCGACGATCGATGGCGAGTTGAACACGGCATTCTGTTGCTAGACTGTTGCTCCCCACGTTCAACGAACAATATCCGATTAACAAAAAATAGACACACTTAGATAAAGGAGGACAGAGATCAACACCGCCAGTCTACGAGACGCTCAAGAAATAACGTCGGAGGTTCTGAAAGTATTATTAAGCGCCGCCTTGCACGCAGAACTACCCAAGACGCCTGCTGCCGATCGCTCCCAAAACTTGGCCTGGCCTTGTCTGAGCGGCGTCTCTCCGCGGCTGCTGCTGCTGCCTGGAACAATTTTTATTTCCCGTCGCAATGGACAAAGCGCTCAAAACTCCCGTTGAGTAAAATGCGCAGCGCGTTCGTTTTTTTTTTTGGGCTCGGCCAAAACAAATAAAATAAAAGAAATTAGAGTGGGCAAACGTCCAGCGGTTTTTGTTACAGTGGCTGAGTATCATAGTGACGGGCACATGTTTGTAAATTCAGAATTGACCGTTGAAAAATTCAGCTGCTCGGTAATTTTTACAGGATGATTAACAACACCGCCCACACTTTTCCATTTGACACAGCGGCCAGAAACAAACAGCACCCTTTTCAGAGCCGTAATAGATGAGAGTGCAACGCATTTCTTGTATTCGGCGAGCCAGTCGTTATTTTAAGAGCTTGGCGGGGCTAACACCACGATACCCAACGTGCTTTCTGGTCATATCCGACTATCGCCGAGCTCTATGAAACATATAATGGGGGGTTTTCGATTTAAAGCTTTCGTGACTGCAGGGATTCATCTTCTTGGTTCTTTTGGTAAAGTCACGTAGAAGGGAAATAATAAAATAAAAAAAATAAAACATAATGAAATACAATTCTCACGACGTTTCGTCTGACACTGTCTTTCCGACAGACTTGTTCTTCACCTGGGGACGGCTGCTTGCGTTGTGGCCAAAACGTCGTGAGAATTATTTTATTGTGTTTTATTTGTATTATTTGACTCGAGAACAGAACGCTTTGTTAAGCACTTTCAGTGTAACGGGGCCAGGAAAGCCGTATTGAGCGCGTGGTAGAATCACAAACCGCCCCCCCCCTCGTCCCATACTCAGTGGCTGAATTAATTCAGGCCCAATCGGAGCACGAGCAGCATCTGAGCTGTAAGCTGGTAAGCTCACAGAGGAGGAAGAAGAATTACAGCACGTGCATAGGGTCCATTGCTAAACCTTAGACCAGTCTTAAATATCTGATCGCCAGAACGCCAATGACCTGGCCAACAGCACCTCCCCCCCAAGGAAAATCCCTCCCTTCACCCACTCCGCCTGCTTTGATGAGTCCGGTTGACCTGTTACCGTCGAAGCCCATGACAACAGGATGTTGCAATGTATGAAGAATGTCGCAATGTACGCGTGGGAGAATGTGGAATTAAACAACATTTTATATATGTGTGTGTGGAAGAAAAAAAAGAGCTTGGGGCAGAGAAGAGACGATGGGAAGCGGGCAGGGGGAAGAGACGATGGTTGGAGGAGGGAATTCCAAAGGGGAGCGGGTGCGAGGGAAGGGATCGGAAGGATGCATCTTGTGACCTGCAGTGTGGCGAGTAAGCGAATCTGACCGAGTAAATGGGTGGCTGGGTCAGTGAGTGGGTGAGCGAGCGTGCCGGTTGTGACCTATAAGGAGCGGCGGGGTGGCCGTTAGCGCTCTGCACTATGAACCTGGCGACACCCGAGTTCATGGCCAAAACCAGTGTTGATTATCTGAACCGGTCCTGAGCCTCTCCTAGGTCGGCTCAGCCTCAAATGAGTACCTTGTGTGGTGTACTCATTTGGGGAGACAAAGGCAGCCGGGCGTGGTATTGGCCACCCATCACCTTGTGTGCCGTGCCGGCTTTCATAGGCGCTACTCGCTAACAGCACTTGCCCCAACAGTCTGTTAAGGCTATATGGGGGAATCTTTGTCTTTGTTGTGACCTGCAGTGGGGTGGATTGAACACAGGTCACGAAATAGTCAGTCTGGTAAACCCAAGTCCTTGACAGTTCTAAGATAACGGTGTCTATGAGATGTTATCTCCCTCGCCAGGTATGCAGGAGGTTGTGGGTTGGATCCCGACCCCGACGCCTGTATAGTTGGAGTCTCCCCGTGGCCACATGGATTTTTCTCCGGGTCCTCCGGTTTTCCCCCTCCACATTTAGAATCAAAATCGCGCGGTTTCAGAGTATTCGACAGCTGCTATAAATTTCCACGTGACGATAAGCCACTTCGGCGAGCTATCGTTTGCGATGGCCGGGTCGCTCGTGAAACAGAGCTACGTAGACAGCTCAAGTGGAGGCCTTACCTGGTGTGTAAAAAAAAAATACATTGAAGTTTTAGTCCGACGCTGAGCGGGACAACTCACTGTGTGCGCAGAGTGAAGGCGGCGCTGGTGATGGACGTGGGCAGGTTGAGTCCCTTCGTGATCTCCCTCCAGATCTTCTTGTTGATCACCTCCACGAGTCCGCCCTTCTCCGTCACCAGCTTGTAGAGCGTGTGCAGGTCCAGCACCTGCTTGGCCATGATGGGGATGCGGTTCACCGGGGTCCCTGTGGTCGCACGGCCACAGCGGGGAGAGAGAGAGAGACAGCGATCGCCCCGGTTAGCCGCCGCAGGTCGCAAGGGGGTGCGCGATCGCACAGTCGGCGAGCGCCTGTTGAGGCCGGTAGCACTGCGCCACGTGACGTGTGTCTGCCCAGCGTGCCGTGCGCTGTTCGCACACCGCACAAAGTAACAATGCGCAGATTTGTGAATTTGAAACGACAATAATTATTCGGCGCTGCTGCTCCTGCTGCTGGCAGTGGGGCACGGGCGCAATTAACAACGACACACTCAACACAAAAGAAAATGCGAGATCTTTCAGATGATGGCCCTTCCTTGACGTGAAGGGCCAACGCCCGGAGCGTCTCCGATGAAATATTTACTTGACGGCAGCGTTATTGATGAGTAGATTAATGTTCGCATCGGCCGAGCGATCCGCGGGCTCAAAGAAGGTTTGAGCAGCACTGCTCCGGGTGAGCGAGTAACTTTGGGCTTTGTCCAAGTATCGTCCTTTCCCCGACAATTTCATCCGTTTCGCGCGTTTTTATCGGGGTTTTATTATTAAGCGTGCTGTTTTATTTTTTTTAAAGTTACTTTAGATATGCGTGAATACGTATCCGCAGATTAATTGGTGCACGGTGGAAAATCAATGACTTCATCGTTCATAATTCATGGGACACCCGCTCAAGACATGTGAAGACTTCATTAGTGGGGCCAAAAAAAAAGACATAAATCTGCAAATATATTTAATTTACATTCTCTGTATTTAATTTGTTTGTTCTATGCACTATCCAACAACCATTTACAGCATCCACGTCGATGTACATCCGGATAACAGAAGGCCTCCTAATGCTCTTTGGTTATGGGAGCCGTTTGACCATACTTCACCGCACTGGGGAGGTTCTGTGACGAGTGAGCACATCACTTGCCGCTGATGTAAGCCGTGAGCCGGGAGTAAAACCACAAACGCACGACAACGCACAACAGCTCCCAGCGAATTATCTGTAACAGTAACAATTAAATACGTAAGCAACTCTGCTGATTGAAACAAATGCCGTTCGGGAAATGTTCATTTGGTCGGCCAATTATCCCGCTAATGAAGCATTACTTCCTTGCAGAGATGAAACAAACCGGGCCGTTCGTGCTCGCAGTTTTCCGATTGCTCCATAATTCCGTGGCTCTGTAACTTGAACGCTTGTGCGCCCAAGGTGTTCTCCGATCTTATCAACGTCGCTTTACAAACCACTCGAGGAGACTGTGGCGGCTGTACTGCTGTTGCTGCTGCTGCACAGCGCTCCCGACGCGTTCCGTTCTCCAAGATGTCCGACGTTTCGCTCCACACGCTACGAAAGGAAGTTCCTTAAGAAGCTCCCAGCACGTGTAGCGAAACGTCGGACATCGTGCCGAACGAAGCGCGGTAACAACCCGGCGGACAAAACGGAGGAGAGCCGCACAGCGCAACCGCGAAGATCAGCGCCGTTAAGCGTCATCCTAAAAGACGCCTGAAATCGCCAGGCCCGATTCTCCCTCAACAAAAAAACTGGCGACGGATCGCTCCGCATTAGCGAACGACGGCGCAGCGGGCTGAGCGTTGAATAAAGACCTCCGTCTCCGCTCGGTTTTTCACCGGAGTGAAATCCATACGGAGGAACAGAAATCACACGTGCATTTACAGCGAAACCAACAAAAAAAAAATCTTTTTTTGTTTTAAACAGAAAGCGAGCGGATCAATGGGGCCGATTGAGCGGACGGCAGAGCTGAAAACGGTTCATTGAGCGCATCCTCTAACCTGCCCCAAAACTCGCAATCGACGCTCAACATCCGCTAATCCCCCCCCACCGCCACCGCCGCCGCCAAACCCCCCACCTACCGCTAATTGAATCGGAATTTGAGGCGTGCTCGTCAAAAAATTGTCTTTTCATCTTTTCCCCGGGACTTGCGTTCCGGATTGTGGGGGGGGGTCAAGAAAAAAGGCGACTTGCGTCGATGCTCTGTCGAGCCAACGCGCTACGCGAAGACTAAAATAAAATAAATACATTTAATTAAGGAAAAAAATTCTTAAGCGTTTCCCAACCCCTTAACCCCCCCCCCCACCCAGAAGCCGATCCATAGCCCCGGCGCAGCCGGAGACAAGCGCAGTGCACCTGGGACCGGCGTGCGAACGTCGTCTCTGTCACAACTGATTATTTTTTTAGTTGGCTTCCAGTGCGGTAATTACTTCACTCTAAACACCTCGGAGGGTGCACACCCCCCCGCCCCCCCTCGCCGCCCCCCCCCACCCCCCCGCTGCATCCCATCAGACAAATCGAATTACTGCCCACACGGCACACAGCAGATGGGGCGATCGAGTCAGAGCATAAGACCCACGCGGTTTCTATCCCCCCCCCACCGCCCGCAAACCCCCATTCTCCCAGTAAAAGTTTGGTGTTGCGTCCTACAATGCGGTAATCTCTCAGCGGTGTTCTCGTTCGCGTGCGATCGGATTCGCGGGGATTTCGGGGCACGTCCTCGTGCGTTTCCGGAGCGTCTCGCGACGCGCGAGCGACGCGTTGGCACAAAAAACATCGCCCCTTCGGACGGTCCGATGTCTCGCCGCTCAGTATTGCGCGCGGCACGACACGACACAAGGCGGCTGCCGGACGCGATCCGCGAGAGGGTCACGCGACGCTTTCCGACGGCGCTCCGGGCTTGAGCAGGACGCCGTCGCCGGTACGCGACGACGTCCCGTGGTGGTAATAATAATAATAATCGAAATGATGGCATTCATAACGCGCCAGATTATTTTGCGGAGCCAAACTCAGGGGTGCTTCGAAAGCCTGCCCCAACACAGAGAGCGGCGTTGAGATGTTTCTTGAAAGCCAGAGTGCATTTGACGTTCCACACCGAGGGGCTGACGGCAGAGATCCGACGTGAGGCTGTGACAGTCCGAAGCAGATTTTGAGTGACGCTGCTGCCGCGCAGGGTAACGACAAAGTGACGGCCCAAGGAGGGGAAGGGGCCTGACGGAACATCGGCCGAGGTGTGGGAAGACCTTCATCCAGCAGTGACTAGAGCATGGCTGCTGCTGACGACGACGACGACGATGCAGATCCTAGCAGAGCTGGCAGACGCGGCGGCTCTCCGGCCGGGAGAAAGTGCGAGAGCAAATCGGATCGCTCAGACCGCCCCTTTAATTAAGAGAAGTGCTGACAGGCAAAAGAAGCGGCGAGCCCCCCCCCCCCCAACGACCCCCCAAAAAGACGTTCCCCAATATCCACGAGGGCTGGGCCAAGCCAAGCGGTGAGAGGAAAAGAAAAAAGAGAGCCACCTCCCCAAAAAAGCGAACAACAACACAAAACAACAAACCCTCAATCAAAGTGGCGGCTCGATCGCTAGCGACAAAAATGCCAAGCGGATCTCGGAGCAGAGAAATAATTTATTGGAATGGGGAGTTATCTGCGAATGCGTAACTCAGCTCAAATCCATCGCCGGGACAATGGGTGCTCGTGGAACGGAATGAAAAAAATGCGTACGGGCCCCAGAGTTCCTTTCTCCGAGTGTCGCGCAGAATCTTCCACTTTTTTTTCCTTCCACGCCACCCTCCCCCCCCCTGCTTTCTAATTACCTTAAATCAGAGTTGGGGGGGCCAACGCGCGTCCAATATACGATAGCGTGGCGGGGAAAGGAGGCTTTTATTTCCGCCTTGATTTGTGTTAACTTTGAACGGCGACGTGCAGACCAAGCAAGTTTTTTTCTTACTTCGGACGCCACTTTTACAAAAAGCGCCGCGTATTTCACCGGGAATCTAAATGCGCGGCACGGAAAGGAAAAAACCGACGACAATCGAGACGCGCCGCGCCGATAGCCCTTCGACGTGTGAGGGGCGAGTTGAACGGGTGCCAACCGTTCTCTTAGCGGCTTAGCCCAACGGCACCGCGTCGCGCTTTTCAGGTCGACGCCGCCGGCGCCGGGCTTGTTCGGCACTTGCCAGGCATGTAGGTGGCAAGGTGTTAACCACCTCGCCTGGTACGGAGGAGGTCGTGGGTTGGATCCCGATCCCGACCCCTGACGGCTGCTGCTGTATATTAGGAGTTCCGTGTGCGTCTCTCTCATCATCATCAGGGTGGCTAGGCGATGTTAACTACCTCGCCTGGTACGCAGGAGGTGGTGGGTTCGATCCTGACCCTGACGCCTGCTGCTGTATATTTGGAATTTGCGTGTCTCTCTCTCTCCCTGTGGTCGCGTGGATTTTTCTCCGGGTCCTCCGGTTTTTCCTTCCACATTTAGAATCAACGTCGCGCCTTGAGAGCACTTGGCTCACCTTCCACGTGATGATAAGCCACTTTGCTGTGCTATAATTTGTGGCCAGGTGACTTCTGAAAAAGAACTACATAGCTAAAGTGGGCCGTAGCTGGTAAAATACAAAGAGTTTAGTCGAACAGTTTAATGCATCCGATTGCATCGCGCCCGTGTTCCGTCACGACACAGTCCACACGCACCCCGCACTGCTTTGGCTCACGATGCAACCGCTCCACACCACGCAACGTCAGACTGGAGTAGAAATTATCGTCACTTCAACTCAGTACGGCATTTGGTCATCGCCCCCGCAGAGAGAGGGCGTCTCAGAGGCCTGAGGAGAAAGCACAGACGAGCGGGAAGGAGGCAACGGCCAGGCTCACAGGCCGCCTTTGTCTCCCCATTGATGATGTTTACGCGCCAAACTAGGTGCTCATTTGAGGCCGAGTCGACCTAGGGGAGGCCCACGATCGGTTCAGATATTGATCACCATGCTAGCCACGAGCGGGAATCACACTCTGGTTGCCGGGTTCGTAGTGCAGTGCGCTAACCACTGCGCCACCACTCCCCACACACATAAACACACGTACACAAAGGCACACATGCAGGCACACACACGTATAAACTTACACACGCACACACGCACACACACAGATCGAGGCACATGCAAACAGAAGGCCCCAAACGCCCTCATGCCCTCTGCAGCACCCTGGTTTCAGCAAGTTCAGGAATG